AAAGAAAGAAAGAAAGAAAGAAAGAAAGAAAGAAAGAAAGAAAGAAAGAATCCCTATAGAGCAACAAGTCCAAAGTCCAGAAGCTTTGGAGTTCCATCATCTTTGCTGACAGTTTTGTTGTCATTTCTTTGAGATGGGGGCTCTCTGGGTAACTGGAAAGGACCCTGAGCTGTGGTCTCCCTGTTTCCCTGTCCCAAGGCTGGGATCACAGATGAGAATTACCACACCTTGCTTATTTTGCCTGTTCTTATATGATTTGAATTACAAATAACTTAATATTTTTACTTTCTTTCTTTGAAACTATTCTTTTAGGATGCTTTTATAATTTTGTTGCCTTTTATTGATTATTTATGTAAATACTAGGCTGATAGGGGCAGCTCATGAGGTCCGTTTTGGTTATAGGAAGCAGTACTGCTCTAGTGTTTTCCTTTGTCTTCAATCGCTTTTCATCTGTTCCAATGTAATAGTCACGGGCCACAGGATTCATGCCGATATATGGTCACTTGTTTTTTAACATGTGTTAAGTCTATAAAGAATGTATAGACCATTTTCATATAACCGGTGATCTCTATATATTTTCAAAGAAATTCTGTGTAGAATGTCCCCATTCTTTATGAATTTTTCTATTTTAGGAGCTAATGCATTTGTCTTTCAGATTGTCCTAGTAATGATCAGAAAAAATGGCTTCTCTCATGCTCAAAACGCTTTTTTGTTGGTTTGTTTTTTTCAAGATGGGGTTTCTCTGTAGCTTTGGAACCTGTTCTGGAACTAGCTCTCATAGACTAGACTGTCTGGAACTAGCTCTCATAGACTAGACTGTCCTTGAACTCACAGAGATCCTCCTGCCTCTGCCTCCCAAGTGCTGGGATAAAAGGCCTGCGCCACCACCACCCGGCTCAAATCTGCCTTCTCTAGCAGCTAACTCTTGCTTCCCACACCATTCTGAAGAGCTGAACCTCAGCCCCTAGAGAGAGGCTTTGGAATAGTCCTCATGTCTCTTTGGTTTTCCCCTTTAGAACACTTGGCATTTCTTCATCTTGCCCTCAGCTGACATGACCTCTGCCCTCTAGAACTCTCTTTTGACACTCCTCTCTCTGCTGTCCTGCATTGAATATGTTCTGAAATGTCACTATTGGTCCTCCATAGTCCTGAGCCTTCAGTTCTAGTGATAGCTTCTGAAATGGACGTGCAGCTTCCCTAGCCTTGCCGTGTCTCAATGCTGGGTTACTCTGGGTTCACAGGTAAAGCCCTAGATCCTTGGTATTTGAACTGGTGTTGAATCTCTTTAGTTTATTCTATATTTATGAAACCGGGTTTTTGTTTTGATTGTTTTGAGTTGAAGATGTACTTTGTTTTGTGCTATGTGTATGTGTGTACAATTCTAGATTGTTTTCCTCTCATACAATTTTTAAATATTAAATTTTATTTAGATATGTATTTTGTGGGGGCATGTGTCTTATATATTTGCATGTGTGTGTTCAAATATGGGGGCATGTGTGTTATATATGTGTACATGTGGGGGTGGCATATGTGTTGTGTGTGTGTGTATAGGCGACATATAGTTTGTGTGTCTGAGTGTGTGTGGGGACGGCATATATGTTCTGTGTTTGTGCATGTGTAGGCGACATGTAATTTGTGTGTCTGAGTGTGTGGGGGGACGGCATGTATGTTGTGTGTCTGAGTGTGTGGGGGGGCGGCATATTTGTTATGTATTTGAGTATGTATGGGGGCAGCATAAATGTTGTGTGTTTGAGTATGTGTACAGAGGCCAGAGGGGGATACTGGTTCATTTTCTATCTCTCTCCTCCTTATTTCTTTGAGACAGAGTGTCTCACTGAACTCAGAGCTAGCCTGGCAGCCAGGAGGCTCCCGCCCCCATAGTGCTAGGGTTACAGGTGTACAGCCACACCTCACCTTTTATGGTGTCCTGGGGATTAGAACCCAGGTTCTCATGCCTGTATAGCAAGCACTGTTACTCTCTGAGCCATCTCTCTAGGTGCCGCCTAAAGAGGACTCACGGCATCACCTGGGGTTGGTGGGTATGCTTTCATCACATGAGTGATCAAGTCCTTTTCCTAGTCCGAGTTCAAAGGAAACAAAATAGGTTCAGGTCAGAAACTAATGTCTATTTGTTGAATCAATTTGTAACTGAGTAAGTATCTACAGTTCTGTTTTTTTCACCAGTGTTCAGGAAACTTACATTACAAAGTAAAACAAGCAGTGGGTTGTCTCCTGCACAGCTAAGTCTTATGAAGATACCCAGCATGGCTGTAGGTATCTTTGGTTTTGAGTAACCCTGGATAAACTATTTATTTTTTTCTAAGCCCTGCTCCCTTCATCTCTAAACCACAGTGGTGGTTTAGGTCAGGGTCCTGTGGATGCTTCAACTCTAGCACTGACTGATATGAGCAGTGGTGTGTGCTTTCATAGTGAGAGCAGGAAATAAAACACTGGTTTCTTTCCTTCTTTTTCTTTTCTTTTCTTTTCTTTTTCTTTCTTTCCTTTTTTTTTCTTTTTTGAGACAGGGTTTTTCTGTGTAACAGCCCTAGCTTCCTGGAACTCATTTTGTAGACCAGGCTGACTTCAAACTCACAGAGATCCACCTGCCTCTGCCTCCTGAGTGCTGGGATTAAAGGTGTGCACCACCATGCCCGTTTCTAGGTACTTGATTTCTTAGATTTAATCTTAACTTTAAAAATTAGCTTACATGGTAATAGGTTTCCATATGGGGTTTTCATACATATTTCATTCCAGTTTGTCACCCCCCACATTTCCCCACCGAACCCTTTCATCTCCACTATTCTTCTCTTCCATTTTTTTTTTCTATTGTGCTTCTTCTAGGGAAAGAATATCTTGACTGTCAACTTTCAGATGGAGCAAAAAGGGAGAAATCCAAGATTTAGATGAGCTTTAGATCTTGAAGATTGAAGGTCTTGTTGGGGTCAAAGAAAAAAGAAAGCATCTTAACATCAGGGGTGGTGGAGGAGATGGTTCTGTGGGCCAGGGTGCCGCCCGGCTTAGTGTCAAGGCAGAAACCGATTGTTCTCTGTGTTGTTTAATTGGTGTCTGCAGGGGCTGTCATATCTTTTAATCCCCTAAAATAACTTTGCCGTAGTCAGTGCCAAATATAAAGGGGTGGAAGAATAGGAAAGAATTCAAAGTTCAGCAAGCAGAATAAAGAAAAAAGAAGAGGGTGACGTGAGAATTTGGTTTCTCTGCTTCATGACTTACAGTAGCACTGTGCTGTTGAAAGCGAGGTTAAGG